TCAGGCGCAATTATATGTGGCGTGTTAAGTCTGATGACTGACTATCCTGGGCCCCGAACAAGGCCCACCAGCGGCCGAGCGGTAAAGTCGCTGAACACTGGTTGTTCGGTCCGAGGTTCGAATCCCACGAACGGGCTGGCTGCACGGGCGTTTTCGTGCTTTCCATCATGTTTAACGTGCATACGAGCCAGTTTCCCTTAGAAAGTCCTCCAAGAAGGCATCCCTTCCCTTAGGCAGATAGCCCTAGTGTGCTTTGCCGTAATTAAATAAACCAAACCAAACCAAACCTGGGCCCTGAACATACTTTAAAAACCCTAAACCGCTAGTAACCTCGGTATGTACCGCTGGCTATTTAAAGCCCAGATAGTATGCAAGACGCACTAATCTGCTGCAATTGAATAGCAGTTCATACCATACTACTAGTATATCATAATAGTATAATACCAATTTATGTTAATGCAAAACATGCGCAGAACATTGTATTATGTTTATCGCACTGAGGCTTTCACTTTCGCGCAATCAGAATGAACTTCCCTCATATACACAATATGTGATGACACTGCTATATATGTTACCACTGAAGTGCGAAAGTCGTTCATGTAAATATTACCTACTTTGCCGTTGATAATATTTACGTTAATTATCTGCAGATTAACTGATTTGCTCTGAAATCAGTTTGCTCCGTTAAAGTGCGGAACCAAGAGTTTTCTGTATTTTACCTAGGCAATGTGCACATTGAAGGTTCCTGTATCGTTAAAGTTCAAACGTTTGGCTCCCTCATTTCATTTTCCTCTACCATCACTTTGCACATTACCTATTAGGCACTCGCTAATCTACATATTGCTTACTAGGTGCTTGTTAAACTGAAAATAAGGTCTTCGTCGGAACAACGGCAACGTTTATGTATGCTAAAATTAACATAATGTATACATTTTTTGATATCTAAAAAATCAAGTTAATACAATCAAACACTCAACAAATTAGTTGATTGATTTAATCATTAATCAGTTAAAAAAAACTATAATACAAAGAATAAAACTGTTTAAAATATTATCACCATTAAGGAAATGACTTTGAAAAACATATGATAAAGTTATGCTCACTTATTAGTGCAATCTAAGAACTGGTGACACTTTGAATTTTAAGATCAGCTGGATTTTTTGCGACAAGCACATCTGTTTGGGGGTGTATTTAGATTTGCAGTAACATTTTTTAAAACCCTGCCAGATCAACATTTAAAAGTACAAGTGGCGGCTGTTTGAAGCATACAGAAACGTTTTGTTACTCCAGCAAAGATCTTTATTTTCACTTTAACGAGTGCCTAGTAGGTAATGTACAGATTACCTAAGTAATTTACAGATTAGCTAGGTAATTTGGGAAATGAAATAATTTTCCGCCCTTAGCGATCACTCTATTTAATCTGAAAATTAACTAGCTAATCTGCAGAATAACCGATTTCCGCACTTTGGGTGTCATATATATGTTACGGTAAAACACCGAAATCTGGAGAATGTAGACTTTCACCGGTGAATGTCAGCTTTCACATAATCGCTTGGTGTATGTCCAAAACATTTTTCAAATACTCTTACTTCTGACTTACATCGGTAAATGTTGACATTCACCATGTACTAATGGTGAATGTTGAACATATAAGAATATTATATTTTCTTCTCTGTAATTCAGTAGCGAGTAAACGCACTTGAGACTTAAAATAAGAACTGAAGAATATAAGAACTTAAAACACACAGTACATTCAAAATGAGAAAGGAAAATAATATTGTAGAAGCTAAAAACTTACTAAATTATGTGATTCAAATCCTATTTATTGCAACAACTTAAACTATTATGACACATTGAATTGCACAAGAGGCCCTTGCTTTTACCACTGCATTTATTTGTGGAACACTTTCTTTTGCAATGACAGCGTGTACATACACTCCTCTGTTTTCGACCTGCACCAGAGCATATCTGTGATTGTCGACATACACCGGTGAGGGTCCAAATGTACAAGAATGTAATGAAATATTCGATCTTTCACCGACGTATTTGGTCTCCGGTGAAACTCGACAATCTCCAATTTCGGTCTTTCACGGTAACATATACACAATAATTTATGTGAGAAGTTGATGCGATACCCATTGTTCACCTATTCTCAAGGGTTTCTACAATCAAACACAATTAATTAATTGTTGAAACTATCTTTCATAGCTATAATGGTATGCAATATTATATTAAAACCTGGAGATAAATCACCTTTGATGTGCTTAAATATATTGGCATTAATAACTTTTTCATGACAGGCGAAAACAAAATTTTGTCTTTAAATATGAAAAAGAAGCGTTCGGACTTTTTTGTTAAATATGGAAAAGAAGCATTCGGATTTTTGGTTCCTTAAAAGGTTACTGATAAAAAATATTACAAACTTTAAATATTATTACCTTTGCGATTTGTATGTAAATGTGGCATATTCTAAACTTATCCAGCAAAGATCTCGTTAGATCCAGCAAAGATCTCGTTAGATCCAGCAAAGATCCAGCAAAGATCTCTTAGATACAGCAAAGATCTAGTTGATAATATTCTTCATGTGTTCTTAAAACACTTTTATCCTTGTTTGTAAAACTTGAATATATGAAAATTAAATTTCCTTTCTATATCTTTCAAGAAATGTTCTCTATGGCTTCTTAGGAATGTTTACTAGAAGCAAATTGGCGTTTGTTTGATGTTATTTTGCTGAAAAATATTTTTCACTCAAAATTTCTAAAGATCGCCTTATAATATTCAAAATATTTTCTAAGAATCCTTTAATGTTCTTTTCTAGTTAAAAGCACTTTTACAGTACTCTTGAAGGTTTTCCGAATTAGCATTATAAATTCTTTCAAAATGTAATAATAACGATTTACTTACTCTTAAAGCTCTTTCCAGAAACGTTTTCGGGTGTCTCTAATGATATGAATGTGTTCTTTTTATGCAAACGAAATTCTAATTACTTTTATATGCTTGCAGAAATAAATATTACGCATATATCACTTTTGAAATGTATTTTTTATATTAGCTTCTTTTGACAAAGATAGTCATGAACAGTATTTAGGAAGATTTTTATTCTTTAAAATTTGTTTACCATTTTATTTGAAGCTACCTGAATACAGTATTCGTATTTTTTCAAATATTTTTAACTCTAGCATATAAATTGACTTATTCATAATACAGAGAAAGAATAAAAGGTGAAAGAAGATCAGTTTTAACTTTGATAAAAATGTTAATAATCATGCGAAAAACATTTTCAAATAGGTAAACAATTTTAACAATGACTAAACATTCATAGCGAAACTTTATTCTGCTAGTCTGCTTTGATTACAACAAATACATTTAAAAAATAACTACTATTGTTTTACTGGAGAAAAATAAAATGACTAAATAAAAAAATAATAGTCAAAAAATATTTTACCAGCTGTAGTTTAGTAATCCTGACCTCTCGCTGATCTAGGATTGAAATGTTTGAATTTTTTTTGTTTTGAAGACGTCTTTTTATTTAAAAACTCCAGGAAACTCATTAAAATGCTGTACTAAGAGGTTGCTGCCTTTAGTCTCATTCATAGTTCCTGATTAAATTTCCTTCAGTTTAATTAAAATCTCACCTAAGGAAATGTGATCGTAATTTGAAGAATACTGAAGGGATTTGAATGTAAGTGCAAAGCTAAATTGTATGATGAATGTTGTGTCTAGAATTGATCATGATACTTTCTTAAATCATAAGGAAATGGGAGATACTCGTAAGGAAAAGGAGATTAAATTTCTCAATTGCAGTAAATGAGAATTTGAGACGGGAAATAAAATAATAACTTTGGTGAAAAACTATCAAATATTTATGGAAAAGTAGCGTAGTAGACTAAAGTTTAAACTAAGAAAAACTCAACATCGTTTGAGAATTGAATTCTTTATAGTAAAACTAAAAACTTCAAGCGCCACAGACTCTTTTGTTTGAGGTAAAAAGAAGGTCACAATTTTACTTCCTCATGTACATGAAAGCAGTTCAAATTGCAGTTACTTAGGGAACGTAATTGATAAATTTAGAATATGATTTATCGACATCTATATATACCGGAAATACATAAGAAGCGTAATTGCGCTTTAAAGAATGATGACTGGGAAAAAAAACAAAAAGATAGAATTTCCTCTCTGTCAAATGAAGTTTAATGCACGATATCTTTCTTTACTGTGGATTTTTTTTAAAGATTTCATGAGCAAATTGTATGGAATTTTATAATAATTACAAAATATTTTCTCTCTTGTCCAGCATGTCTTCGTGATGTAACGGTAGCACACTAGGCCTGTATTTGAGATGTTTAGGTTCGAGTCCCGGTGAGCACATTGATGATTTTTCAAATCTCCTGCTTCAGAAAAACATAATAAATCTAGACTGGCGCCCAAACTAAAAGGTGGTAGACAATAATTCATCCCCCACACAATTTGGCGATTTGTCCCTATTAAAAGTCGCCCTTTAAAAAGGTTGCCCCTCCTTTCCAGCATGTCCTCGTATAGCACACTCGGCGCATATTCGAGAGGTCCAGGTTCCAGTTCCTGCGAGGGCATTGATAATTTTTCACATCTCCAACTTCAAAATAACCTAATGACTCTTCAGATTTATATCTTGAACGTTTGTTAAGATACTGATTTTTTTAGAAAATGACAATTTTTAATTTATTTCTCACATAAATATTAATTGATAAATACTGATTTAAAAAAATGGTAAATGCAATTTCCTTAGAATAGAAATCATTTATTATATATGAACTATGCCCATGATAAATATTTTCATTCAACCATTCAATCTTTTAAAGAAATCTGAGTATGCAAGTTATGATATTCCTACAAAACTACTGTCACAAGAAAATAGATAAAGTTATAGAGAGAGTTTCTTGGAATTCTGTGATGTTCTAATAGCAATACTCGAAGTGTACCTTGACAGATTATTAATATTAAATATTTTGTTTAATAATTAGGGTACCGTGGCAGAGCATGTGAAGGAGAAGTGAGTCAGTGCGACAGGAAGCCTTGCATGAATAATGGCACTTGTCGAGGCAATCAGACAGAATACGTCTGCGACTGCCCCAAAGGATTTGCAGGACCCGACTGTGAGACAAATGTCAACGAATGTCTGTCCAACCCTTGCGTGCACGGTGTATGTGAAGACGGATTTGGTGGCTACAAGTGCTATTGCCTTCCAGGTAAATCGCTTCAAGTATTATTATTTCAAATAAGAAATAAATGCATTGATTGGATTGATATGAACACTGCGCAGAAAAAAAAAGAGTAAATAATTTTAAAAATAAAAGGATAGATATTTAGAGTATACATGAAAATAAATCTGAAGTTTCAGATTTTAAATTACGTCTAAAGTTGCGTTGCGTTTTTTTTAGTCCAAAGGGATTTGAATCCCGAAGGACTATTAGTTTCGTTTTGGCATTTTGCGTCGGACTCATAAATGTCGGTTCACTTTTCAAACTGTTGCCAGAAAATGTTAGAGTCCTGCATTATATTTGAAGAAATTAAATAGTGAAAAATCTGCATAAATGTATGTATATTTCTCGTATTGTGATAAAAAAACGGTACATAGAGTCATCGAATTTTGAATAACGTAATCCTCCAACGAATATGAGCATGTGGAAGACCAAATTTGAAATTTGAAATTTGTTTTATGATCGATTTCCTATTTTTTAAAACTTTGACGAATTTTTGATTAACAAACTCAAGGATTTCAAAGCGAGCAATGGCAACGTTGTGCAGAAAAAACATTTTTATCTCCAGCGCGTGAGTCTCTGTATCGGAAATTCTAAAGATATGCTCGTTTTAAAACTATTTTGCGATATTGCTGTTGCACTGGATCTTATGGTTTAAGTGCGAGGAACATGATATTTAATAAAGAAAGGTAACACACAAAATGTTAAAAAACGCCCCTTTGGACGTAATTTAAAATCTGAAACATTTCAGATTTTTTTTTTTTTTTTTTTTTTTTTTTTCCACGTTTTGTGTATTACCTTTATTTATCAAATGTCATCTGCTTCGCACTTAAACCATAAAATTCAGTTCAATAGCAATGTCGCAAAATAATTTTAAAATGAGCATATCTTTAGAATTTCCGATATACAGTTCCGCGCGCAGAAGATAAAAGATAAATGTTTAAGTTACGGAGATAAATGTTTTTTTTTCCCGTAGAGTGTTGCCATGGCTCGCTTTTAAATCGCTCAGTTTGTTAATCAAAAATTCGTTAAAGTTTTACAAAATATGAAATCGATCATAAAACAAATTCCAAATTTCAAATTTGGGCGTTCAGATGCTCATATTCGCAGTAAGATTACGTCATTGAAAATTGGATGGCTCTAGGTACCATTGTTTTATCACAATGCGAGAAACATACATACATTTATGCAAATTCTACATTAGTTAATTGCTTCAAATATAATACAGGGCGATAGTATTTAATGGCAACGATTAGAAAAGTGATACAGCCTTTTAAAGTTTTCAACGCAAAACGAAAACAAAAGTTCTTCAGGGACAAAGTCCCTTTGGACTAAAAAAAGGACATTCTATATCTCCCGTTCTACTATGCCGACTGACTAAATTCAAATTGCGTTTCTCATGTCTTGAAAGCGCGATTTATGATATATATTGAATTTTGTAATAAATTTGTAATATTTGTAATACATTGTAATACATTGGGGATACACTCAGATCCTCCTGGCCACGAAGTGTCCTCATGGTAAAAAAAAAAGTGACCCCTAAAATTCATTACAATAATGAATTTATTGTAATGAATTTGTGGAATTTATTAGGATAATAATACTTTTTTTAATTTGGTGCGAAATTTATATAGAAATTCAAATATTTATCTTGGCGCATTTTTTTTCAGTTTGCGCCAGAATAATTCACTTGAAGAACTTCTTCATTTATAGCAACCTATTTTCATTTCCCTTTTTAGATTGTGAATGTATGGACATCGTTCCTACTTTGAAATCATTTTAACATAGCGCGTATAAACCCCATTATTTGGCGTTATTATCGCTTATAACAAATATGCCAAATTTTAAAACTCGCCAGTATCTAAATTCATGTATATCTTATAAAATTTTGAAAAAAAAAACTCTATTTTTTGCAGATGTGCCTAAATACATCTGCTTTAAGAGGATGCTTAATATTGTATAAGTTATAATTAAAAATTTGTTTTTGAAAAATTTATAAGAAATTATTTAAAAATACAAATTTTAGAAATAAATCATAAAATATGTTAGAATTACATTTGGATTAAGCCTAAATTTTGAATTCTGGAAGAAGGAATCAGTAAGTTTAGTAAGAGTGAGCTTAAATGAGTAATCAGTAAATAAGAGTTGAAACAATTGAATGAGAAATATATCTCTAATGAAATTCGAGACAAAGTTTGAAGGAAATGCAGAAAAAGTATGTATAATTTAATAGTCCATACAAAGAACTTGTGTGGTGTTCACATCAAATTTTTTAATTTAGGGAAGGGAGAAATGATCATCTAGCAATGGTGAAAAAAAGTGCATAGAAGCAAAAATGCTTGAGAACTAGTTCTCTAGTAGGAATCAATTCTTTCTTTAACCAAATAGCAACTGATAATGTGAGAAAAGCTAATTTTGGAAATAATTCTTTCGAAATTAGGTTAAATAAGAACGTATTGAAAGGAATAAGAAATGATACTGTAATTATCAACCTAACTATTAGATTAAATCTCAGGGATATCAGCATTAATACGGAAGATTTCACTTTTTAACACCTCTGCGTCTTTTGCATGGAAATCTATACTTGAGTTAAGCAAATATATTCTCACATCGAAAGTAGTTCAACTTTTAATCTATTTTAAACATTTCTCTAATTACACTGAAGTATGGGCCCCATTTTGAGAAGCACAGTAATTTATTTGTCTGTATTCATGCTAGTTTGAGAACCTGACAGACTCGCAATGCATCCGTAATGCCGCAGTAGTAAATAGATATCTTAATCACAACAGTAAATAAATACAATAGTAAATAAATATCTTAATCTTTATCACAATAGTAAATAAATATCTTAATTCCTTAATGATATGATAATAAACTATACAATGTAATGCTATTTTCTATTTTTTTGAAATTGGAACATTAAACAGTAAAATATAAAGTCATTTCATTTAAACAGTAAAATATAAAGTCATTTTATTGTATTTTGTTCATAAAACTCATGTACCAGATTTCGTACAGATTAAAAAATATTATTCGTTGTACTTACTTTCAACACGTGATTAGAATATTCAGTTTTAATTTACTTATTGTATTATTATTACATAAATATACTTTTTATATATACAAAGAAAATAATCTTTTACTAAAGAATTGTTAGCTAAAGTATTCTTCACTACTTAATTAAATTGGTAGTTTGCTGGAGAAACGATAGAAGCAATAACTGATTAATGTATTCTTAATATTTGCATGATACAGAAGATCAATGAAATTCTAGTTGCAACAATAACATAAAAGAAAAAAACGCAATTTTAAAGATAATCTGCAAAGAGAAAACTTCTTATCAAGGAGGCTTCTCTTTCCTTTCATCTTTTAGTGAAAATTTAATTTCTTAAACTGGCAGCTTTTGTAGAAATAGAATAATGAGTTTCAATTATCCAGGAACATTGTTCTTTTCATGCTATTCGTCGAAAACCTTCTTTCATTTTCCATACAAAGCATTCCCTTTTGGTAGCCGTTTTTATCAAAATCACGTACAAGATATGCGTCTTTTCAAAAAATGAATGCGACTTTGTTCAGTTTTATTGCTTTTAGTTTCAAACAAACCCTTTTCTGAATTATTTATGTAAATTGCCTCTCTTTCATGATGAAATTATTCTTTAGCATAATTTTGCTTTTAATCATAACTCATAAAATTGTTTTCAGAGGTTAAGAATAAACCAATGGAAAAATTTTGAACGTTTATTTGATTTGCTGCACGTCAAAACTTACAGTAAAATTGCAATACGTCGACGATTGATTTTTAAGCATTTCAAATCATGTATGCCACATTTCAGCACACCGTTAAGTTGATATATATACAATGCTATTATAATGATCATTTTAATGAAAATTGAAAAGACTTAATGTTCCATAAAATACACTAAGATGTAAGCATTACGTGTTTGATATTTTTCTCTCCTTTATGCAGGCCTTCGTAGTGTAACGGTAGCACAATCGGCACGTATTCGAGAGGTCCAGGTATAAATTCCGGTAGGAGTATTGCTCATTTTTCACGTCTTTTGCTTTAAAATAACCCAATGACTCTACATTGCGCTCGGACTAAAAGGTGGTGGAGGATGATTCTTCACCACTAAAATTTAGCGATTGGGTTCTCTAATCCCCATTCGCCATTTAAATAGGGGAGTACATGTTTTCTCTCTCCTTTCTGCATGCCATCGTGGTGCACTGCTAATTTTCCACGTCTTTTGCTTCAAAATAACCTAATGACTCTACAAGTTATCACAGTATTCTTTTTCAGTCATGGCCCTTCCAGGCATTTTAACAGTTAAGAAATCTCAACTAAAATTATTAGTCATATATGACGAAGGATATTGTGATTGCTAAAATTATTTTAATGCACCCTGTGAAAACTATGTAATTTAAAAATTTGCATATGTTTATAAAATTAAAATGAAAAGTTGATTGAATAAACTAAAGAAACTAAAGAAAACGATACGCTCTCTGAGCAGCTGCTAAGACACCAGGAGCAATGAGATACAGAACTTCAAACTAACTAGCAATATTTATATTTCCAAAGTTTTAACAAATTTCATAAAGCTCTATCTGTAAATACAGTTAAATACAGTGAAATGTGACTTGTAATGATTGACTGCGTGTTATGGGTTACCTCCGATATACACAATTCCAGTTACAATGGCTTTTTTCACGTATTTTTAATGAAATCCTTTTTACTGACTTTCGCACTTTACCACCCTTTCTTACTGGCTTCATCATATGATCGTTATTTTACTGGACATCCAGATTTGTATACTCCCATTGACGCAGAAATCTCATATGTCAAGTGATATATTTACATTTCGTTTCCGATATACGTTTTCGATATGATATGATATGAAGGACACAGCCCAACCCTTCTGGCAGACTTTACATCGCCCTATGGCGTTTTTACGGGATGCGCCAGAACAAGCTAGAAACAACACCTTCAACAAACAGACATAAAGAACATAACTAAAAAAAAATTCAAATTAAAATCCCTACTGCAAGCTTATCATGATTATTTTCTCCATCATTTTCCTGGCAAAATCTTTTCAGTCTTTTAAAATAATTTCAAATAATACGTTTTCGATATACAGTATGTTAAAATGCGGATATCAGTTATTCCGCAGGTTATCTCGTTAATCTGCAGATTAACTAGGGTGATCCGTTAAAGTGTGGATAATTGTTTAATTACCTAGTTAATCTGCACATTACCTACTAGACATAAGTTAAAGTGAAAGTAAGATCTTTGATGGAACAACAGCAATGTTTTTGTACGCTTAAAACAGCCTCCATTTACACGTTTAATCCGGCAGTATTTCACAAAATATTTCTACAAATCTAATTGCACCACACGTAGGTATGCTTGTAGCAAAATCTAATTTCTATGTAATTCAAAGTGTCACCAATCTTTAGATTACAATAATAAGCCAACGTAATTTTAGCATGTTTTGCAAATTCATTTTCTTAATTGTAATAATATTTTAAACCATTTTATTATTTGCATTAGAGATTTTTAACTAATCGACGATTGGTTCTATCAACTAATGTGTTGATTGTTCGTTTGTATTAATTTGAATTTTTAGATATTGGGAAAAAATGAACATTATATTAATTTAAGATATTATGTTCAAGAGCAAAACAAATATACTTGCTCTTTATTTGTAATTGCTTTCGAATTTCGGATCTGCATATAATGGTTTTAGTCCAATTAGTGTTTTTAATGGTCAGTTTGCGTAATGTAAAGTTTTATGGTTTTTTTAGTAGTCAACTTGTCACAATGTTACGTTTTATTTTTTTTCCAAGTGGTTCGAAAGCGTGTAGGGAAAATTCTAGTATATTTGAGATTCGATTTTTCTGTTTTATATGAATTTTGATGTCTTAAAATTTAATTGAATCTTTTTTTCGATTTTTGATCTCAAATGAATCAGTAGAACGAAACATGTTTTCGAAACATATTAATCGACTTCTATGAAGCTTTAATTCATTTTCCCCTGGTGAATTCTGAATTGGAATTTCGGTGAAAGAAGATTAATTTTTATACTTTTAATGATTTTGTATACTTTCCCTTTCGCATTTTTCGAGTTTGTTCTACTATGAATTCTTATTTTAATTTTGATTTGGTTAGATATTGTGTTACACTTCTTATACACGGTTGCAGTTATTAATATTGTTGAGGAATTGCCATGCTTTGATCCCAATTTAATATTAACTTTAGATGCTTAAGTTTATTATATATATATATATATATATATATATATATATATTAGAAATAAATGCATGTAGACATTAACACTGTGTGATTCTGAGGGAAAATATATAAATTCTTCTTTATTTTTTGCAATTTACTTTTGTAATATGCTGTTCGCGATGCATACGAAGGAGGTTGAATTCTTTATTATGTAAAGATTCTGCACTGTGTACTTCTACGTTACAGTTGAATGTGAAGAATCTTAAGAACTAGTAAGCGAATAATCACTTGAGTCGTGGGATAGAAAACAACAAGTGAGAAGGGTGAAATAATGCTTTAATATTCCAAATAAAGTTTAACAGAACTCCGTCTTGGAGTCCTACAATAAAGCCGACACTCGGGCTTGAACCTAACAGACTGAGAATTAAACTAAACTAATCTTAACTAAAGAGATATAGCCGAAGCTATCAAACTTCTAACGCAGTTAATCCCTTAATACTAATTGACTGCGGAACTATCAAGGGCCTAAAGTACGGAACACCGTAATAATAGCTTAAGAGAGAATAGCCTAAAAAGGCGGACGCGTGCTAACCAGAATCTCTGGTTCTCTCTTACTAAGACAGTAGAACTTCGCGGTTAAATATCGCTCTTCCTTAATTTGCACTCAAACGTGGTTTTAAAACTAAGTTCTGGCCGTAAGTGGTAAGTTGAATTAAGAAGCGATAAGAAAGGAAGTTTGCTGCCATTACTCGCATTTTAACTACAGATCACTTTAATTCAATCGAACAACGGAAAATTGCAAATTTCCGTTAGATAGTAAATTGAAATTATAAAATTTGTGTGACAAAATATTTATATATAGCCAGGACTTAAGTAACTGTTAGGAAAGTACTTCTTACTTTTATATCAAACATACGCAATCTGTTTACATAAACTACATAATTTTGAATATGCTTTATTCTAATGATATGTATGTTAAAGCATTTAAAATGCGTTAAGCTATGTTAATTGCTCATTCTTCTTTGTTAATAGGATATGGAGGCGATCACTGCGAATTCGAATATGACGAATGCGATTCCAGCCCTTGTATCAATGGAGGCGCCTGTGAAGATCTGGTGGCCGGTTATCGCTGTCATTGCGGTCCTGGTTATGAGGGTCGCAGGTGCCAAATTAAAGTGGATCTTTGCAAACCTAATCCTTGCCCATCACCAGCTCAGTGCGTTGATAGAGGGAATAACTACAGCTGCATTTGCCATCCTGGATACAATGGTAATCATCATGAAATGTTTTCAGTTTCATCTTGCAAATGATCCTATATCACATACGAATAACTACACGCATATAAAAATTGTTTATAGGACCTGGATGTACACAGCATTATGATCCATGTTATCCAAATCCGTGTCAGAATGGAGGCAGCTGTTGGCCAAGTCTTGACTCGTACTTTTGTTCCTGCAAACCTGGATTCACAGGAGATCTATGCGAAGGTAATGTAATATTAACGTTTAACATTTAATGGCTGAAATTCGTAAGAAAAATAATGCAACATTTTCGAAATTTTAACAGTAAAGAGCTACATTATTATAGTTGTTTTAGCGAGCAATTAAAATATTTTGTAAATATTTATCAAAAGATAAAATGAGTTTTTTTATCTTTTGATAAAGGAAAGGAATTTTAATATCAAAGTGAAGGAATTTTCAAGAAAAGCAAAGGAATTTTTCAGAAACATTTATACAAGAAACTCACTTTTCTGGACGGATTGCTCAGAGTTTAACAGGATAGCTTTTAAAATGCCAATTTGACCTTGAGAGAGTAGGACTTCCAAAGTCCTACTCTCTCAAGGTCAAACGAATCAGTAGACTGTAAAAATTACCAACACCAAAAGTCAATAACATATAATAATATTTTACTACTAAACTCGAATCTAAAAAGCAGTGAAAATTCTAAGAAAAATTCTTAAACTGAAAGGTGCTGATCTAAAACTCTATAAACTGTTTTACGAAATTGAGAATGCAAATGAAAAAATGTTGTTGAACAATATGTAACAAATACAGAAAGGTAAAAGTTGTAATTTCATCAAGAATGTAATTATAAAAATGTTAAAAATCGTGTACACAATTTAATTTTAGTATTGATTTTTAACTATTTTTTCAGGATTATTCAATGGATTAGTTGTTAGTTACTATTTTACATGAAAAATTTAAAACTTATGATACAAATATACAATATACAAATCGCCGCTTGATAAACTGAAATACGTTTGAAGCTGAAGAGATTTAATAAGCGTTGGGTACTGCACGTATAGCTGCACTTAAAAAAAATAATCATTTAAAATTTGTCAAATAAATTATTTTGTCATCTTGATATATATTTACGAAAAGTAAACAAATATCAGAATATTTAAAAAGAAAATTAAAAAAAAAAAAACTGCGAGCAATTTAATTTCGTATTTCTAGCTTCCCTAACTCTATTGATAAAGCAAGTTTAATGAAGACTTTTGTAATTCTAGCATGGAACGGAAGTGAATCATTTGTTTTATAATTTGCATAAGTTTTCAAATGCTTTACAACTGTATTAAAACAATCTTTATTTGAAAATGTAAAATAATAATCGTCAGATGGTCAAAAAAAAAATCGGGCGAGTTTCGCGACTAGTAACGCGAAGATTGGTCTTTTGACATTACGTATGTAGTGAGCGGAATGCAGAAACTACAATATGTCTTCAAATATCAAAAGAAGCTAAGTTCTGGCCTTAAAGGCAGGCATGAACTGACTGAAAAGCACGCTCGTGGTAAGGCAGCAAGAAGCCTCTCTCTCTTTTGGCTAAAAGCCACATCTTAAACACCTACACAGTTTGCAAACTCATTAACACAAACAATTCTCCTCGCGCTTATTCTGACCGTAAATGGAAAATAAGAGAGGATAGCAAAGTTTTAAAGTAAAATAAACGTTAGTAAAACTTAAAATACTTACAAGCTTATCAGGAAATAGTTTACAAATTGATTCCTATCGTCTGTCTATAGCGATAATGAGTGAACCATGCGTAAACAATATAACAGGGGAACCGGAAAGTAATGTCATTTCTGCGCTTGTCGACAACAACATGCTAAGGGCAGAAGTGGACCAACTTTGGTCGACCATCCAAGAACATTTAAAGCAGAATGGAAAAATTAGCAAAGCAGGTGTCTGAGTCCCTCATAATCTGTCCGAAGAGAACAAAGGCAACCGATCGATCACATGCTTCATCGGCACCATACAGAACCGTTTTTTGATTATTTGATTACTGGAGACGAAACATGGGTCCTATATGATAATCCAAAACGCAAAAGGCAGTTTTAATAGAGTTTACAAAGGGTTTACATCCCCAAAAGGCGCTTCTGTGTATTTGGTTGAGTATTCGCGAAATTGTTCATTTTGAATTCCTGAAACCTGGACAAACTGTTAATGCAGATCTTTATTGTGAACAATTGAATCGAGTAAATCAATCTTTAATCGAAAAATATCCGGCTATTGTCAGTAAAAAAGGCATCATTCTGCAACACGACAATGCAAGACCGCACTGTGCAAGACGGACCCTGGAAAAAATGAATGAATTGGGATGAGAAGTGCTGCATCACCCACCATACTCGTCCGATATCGTACACTCGGATTTCCATTTATTCCTATCCCTACAACATTTTCTTAGTGCCAAAAAAATTGAAAATTTGAATGATGTCCAAAATGCCATCTTGAGATATTTTTACTCAAAAACCAATTGATTTATATCGGTCTGGGGGTTGAAAATCTGTACACTAGTAGGCAAAATATTGCTGATAACGAGGGTGATTACATTATTGATTACAAATAAAAACGTGTTAAAAATTTGTTCGTGTGAATTTAATAAAAGAAAGCGACATTACTTTCCGGTCCCCCTATTAAAAGCTTATAAAAACAAACAGAGGTGTGGAACGTGATAAAAAATTTACGTTTTGATTTTGTTTCAAACATGCACAATTTTCCTTGATAATTACTGTTAATTCGCATATCAATGAAATAATAGCACCTGCCATAAGAAAAAATATTTTCTTATAGTTATTCAAGAGTCATCCAGAAGTTGAAGTCAAGCATCATTTATAACGGCATGACTATAAAAGACGGAGCAATAAGCATGCCCGAAATTCTCATTTTCTGAAGTTAACAACCACTGCAAAATTTATTTGCACATCGGTAAATTCTCCAACATGGTAAAGTGGAAATCTTCAGCTTGGCAGCATCATTAGTAAAACAGGAGCGTAATTATTATACTACATTGGGCGGATAAGAGTGCAGGAAACAAACTTTGGAAAGCAAATACCCTTATTTGCATAACGCTTGTTGATTGCTGTTCTAAAATTCACGATGCATGCAAATTAACGCTTTGGTATTCGCATCAAAGATTCTGCTGTTGATTTCTGATAGCATGGCTGCTTTATAAGACCCATGCTTGGGATAACATTTCAAAGCATGTGAGTTTGCCAACGGGTTGTCAGAAATTTCATGCTAATTCACAATTTATTAAATAAGTGAATTACCGGAGTGGAGGAATGTAAAACTATTTGCACATGAGACGAATACGTAAGTATTTTATGAGATTATCTATAAAACTACCTTACACATGAATTTCACATATCTGGATATTGTAGGATGGAAATGGGTAAGTATGGTTTCTAAAAACATAAAATCTGAGGAATGAGTGTAAATTATCCGACTAAATACTTTTCAAATATTAATACTCTACATATCAGACGAGTATGTTTTTAAAATTGAAAATTTAATTAAGAATAGATTGTCATACATTCAAGTCAGTATTACATCTTTTCATTTACATGTGAATTCGTTTCCATTGATCTAATTTCGAAACCTATTTGAAATAACTTTCACTCCCAAATATCGTCATTTTATTAATATATTAGCTAACAAGTTATATATTTCTTTAATTTAGATATTGGACAGTGAGAGATGGTCTATTATGGTTATTAGATTACTGTAATCTGGATACCTGATGACTTTATTTTAATCTTTAAATGCCTCGAGGAAAGGAATTGGCTTATTTTTCTAATTTCCCAATTTCGCTTATTCACATTTTTTAGAGCAATAAATGTACATGTTTTGAAAACCATGTCTGTTTTATCTGAATAATTTCAGATATTAAATGTTGTTGAGCTGGAATAAAATGTACGCAAAATATAAACGTTTCATTTACTATAAATTTAGAAATTTTATTATAATTCATTCAAACGTTTGGGTCCACCGGCGGCCTAGCTGTAAAAGCGCTGAACATTGCTAGTTGCACCTGAAGTTCGAATCCCGCGAATGGGCTAGCTGCATGGGCTCTTTCGTGGTTTTACCCATGTGTAAAGTGTATATGAGCCAGTTACTTAGAAAGTCCTCCACGAAGGCATCCCTCACCTTAGTCAGATAGCTCTTGAGGTTTTGCCGTAATCACATAAATCAAACCTATCAATCAAAAGTTTCTTCAGTTATAATTCTCAACAAAAATTTTAGCTTATATTGTAATTTATATGTTTGAATTTTAGTCTACCAAAGCTTTTACCTGTTACAATACATTACTGAGGGAAGTATGTGCAAAACGATGAAAGTTTCTGAAAGACAGGATATATTCACTCACATTTTAAATTTCCTATGAAGCGACAATTCACATTTTAAATTCAAGCGACATGAGTTTACTAAATGTACCATGAATTTAACTCAAATAAAATTATTTTTAATTTAAGAAATATTGGATTTTATGAAAATAATTCATATATTTTTGCTGCTAATTTTGTAATTTACATTTGAATTTGCCTTTCTGTAATACAACAAAAACAATAGACAGAACAATTAATACATGATGTGTCAAAATGTAAGTAGATTACTTACAATTTTACGTGGACCATGCAATTAAATCCTTTTCTAATCAACTGTCAAAGTCGCAAATTCTTTGCATATTTTTCTTTCATCTTATTGTTTTCATCTAGGGTATTAAAAGGTTCTCATGTTGTATTCTGGGTTTCTTCTAGGTATTGTCTTTGAAATATTTTTAATAATACTTCTTTCCTTAGCCGCCATAAATGAAACTATTGCGATATTTTTGTCATTTGATGTTTTACAGTTGCTTTATTTTTACCATGATAAAGTTAGATAAAGTTGTTTTCAAACTGGGAATTGCTTTTTTATGCTTAATTGCAACTTTTATGCTTCTTAAGCATAGTTTCAAAGAAGATGAAACAAGACATTCGATTATAACTGAATTACGATAGCAACTTAATTATACGATTGTAACTAAATTATAGATTCAAAATATGAGAGAATTTAAACATTTGAAAAGTAAAGATTAATAATGGAATGCAAGTTAAATACAGAGTTTATGACGTGTATAGCTACAACAATATTCCATTAACGTTATTGGCAATAATTGGTCTGCTAATGAAATTCCAAAAAGTTAATAATTTAAATAGCTGTAATTATTTAGAGTGCATTCTTCAGCTTTAGTTATTATACAATAAACCCTATCATTTAACTAATCAACTGAAAATAAACTCTAAATTACCGATTATGTCTTCGTTCTTCATTTTCGCAAATTATAAACATTTAAAGGATGAAAATAAACTCTAAATTACCGATTATTTCTTCGTTCTTAATTTTCGCAAACTATAAACATTTAAAGGAAAAACAAATAGAATGGCAACGCTCTGGTTAAAATTTTAGTGTTTTATCTCAGATTACTGAAGAACTGTCCATTATATCTGAATTATATTTATTTGAAAGTAAATTGAATACAGTAACGATTTAAATTAATGATGATGTTATCGCAAAAAAACTCAATTCAGAATGCAGAAAATGAACGGCTACCAAATATAACTAACACATAAATGCGAAAAGCTTTCGTTATTGTCTTTGAGATATTTTTAATAATACTTCTTTCCTTAGCCGCCATAAATGAAACTATTGCGATATTTTTGTCATTTGATATTTTTCAATTGCTTTATTTTTACCATGATATTTTGGATAAAGTTGTTTTCAAACTGGTAAATTTTACCGCCACTAAATTTCTGCTGTTTTGCCCTGCAGGGTTTCAGAACTGCGAAATATTTTTCTTGTCCTTTTTTTCCTCGAGGTATTTACTGGTTACATTGCTTTCTCCACATTTTCCTCTGAGAAATTTTTGCCCCGATGTTATTGACGGACACCATTTTATTAAGTTGCAGAACAGCTCTTCTGCAAGCGGGAGTTCTTCGAGTTATTTATTTAAAATCTGCCGGTGAAGAGATTTTCAATAATCAAATATTAGTTCTTAGTTGAAAAGAAAATTATCCTACCAAACTGATTCTTCTTTACCTCTTCAAAATGCTTGGATTTGTTACGTTACAATAATTTTAAACTCATAAAGTTGCAATGATCTGGAAATGGAATGAGGTTATATTTGTGTCCTAGAAGCTCTTGTGGCCTCTCAACCCTTACCCAGAACTTTGGAGGATCCAGGAGAACCAGAGGAAGAAGAATCTTCATCCCACAGAAAAGAATCATTGGACCGCTGGCACAACCTTTACCTGGTGGGGACAATGCTGAGTTTGGCAGCAGCGGTCGTGGCATTGGTGGCGGTTATATGTCATTGTCGCCTCAACAAGACCTATCAAAGATTTACTCGCAAAATTGGAAGATCTTGTTCCGATTTAAAGCAACAAAAACTGTGAGTATCCTGTCCCAGGTAATATATCTGATAATAATTGTCTTAAACATTAAGAAACTTACGAGTAAAAGGGTAGCAGAAGTTTTTCAGATAATTATACGTTATGAAAAAGTAGTTAAACCTTTAAAAAATTAACATATGACAAGTTCGGCTAATTCTTGCCCTCCCCCCCATTTTTTTATCTAAATCAATAAAAGTGTTTTGCACAACCTTCGATGTGGTAAATTTCCTGATATCGATATTAATGCATATTAAGCACAAAGCACGCGTCCATGCTTCTTGAATTTTTTCCCAGTTTGAAGAGTTACATATTCATAGTAACAACAATTTTGATGTAACTGAAACGAAAAAAACAGTAGAAACCACGGAAAGTTTCATTCATTTAATATGTTTAAATTTTCTGTCCCATAATAAACTTTCTAAGAAATTTAAAAACGTAACAAAGTCACATTTCTTTTATAAAGTTCGCGTCTAATTTTAAGTTTAAAAGACAATTTAGATATTTTTCATAATAAAACGGAATTCGCAAAGAGGATTTACATTTTGTAATAAAATGTCTCTGAGAATAGAAAAAGAAATAAAAACAGTTATTTTGAGCTTTAAAAAAACGGCTTTTCGATACTTTTCCTTTGTGCACCTGTCACGCGTTTTGGCGCTTGTGTAAGAGAAGTCAAACGCACACCAAGACCTCAATGAGACCTCATCTACAAATCATTATGACTGCCGCCACATTTTGCAGTGAACTCGTTTAGATGAGGTGGAGAGTACGTCATTAAGTGAGAATCGTATTTGACTACTGCTGGAGAGTGTAAGGAATAATTCTTTCAGTTAAACTTTTCAAGTGATGGGAAAGGATGTTGATCTAAGCCAATTTGATAGAGAGCAGACTGAAATGGCCCAAAGACTCGGAACGAGTACCTCGGATATTGCACGCCTGGTAGGTTGTTCATAATCTGTTTTTGTTATTATTTATGCAAGGTGGATAAATGAGGGTGAAACCAGCAGTACATGCCTAGCTGTTAAACATCCACCTGTCATCAGACAAAAAAGCACATCGCAGACTGTTCTGTTTGGTTCAGCAAAATCGGCGCCAGACAGTGGCTCAGCTGACAGCACAATACAATGCAAGTCCAACTTCGGAGTAGACAGTTCAGCGGACACTGTTGGATATGGGACTGCCCAGCAGATGTCCCACTAGTGTGCCTCTGTTGATCAAGCGTCATTGTCAACTACGCCTACAGAGGGCCTGGGAACATCGGGACTGGACCATAGATAAATGGAAAACAGTCGCGTGGTCGGATGAATCACGATTTCTCTTTCATCCCGTCTATGGTCGTGTCATAGAACGCCGTCTTCCAGGCGAGCAGTTGCTCCACCTCCAATACAGTAGGTCATACGCAGGCAGATGGTGGCGGTATTATGCTTTGGGAGACGTTTTTATGGGTGACGTTCGGACCCTTAGTTGTGGTAAAACTGACCATGAAAGCTGTGGACTCTCTGAACATAATTGTGGATCAGTTGCAGCCTTACGTGGCGTCTGTCGCTGGTGACTTGCATGAGGGTACCTGGGTACGGGGAGCCTACCCCTTGTAGAACAGGTAACGTTCCGAATCCTATGGATACAAGAATAATTGAGATATAATTGTTAGATTATATGCAATAGCACTATGCATGAAATACAATTATAAGAATTTTTGTTGTTGTTGTATTTTTATAAATATATGATATTGAGTATAAGTAATAGAGGAAATTCGAAGTAATTGAGTAAGCCCTAATAGCATACAAACACACACGGTACCAAAAAATTTCAAGTAGACTCCGAAAATGCTGCAAGAGGCCATTTGAGCTAGTGACCAAAACCTATAATAGAGAGTCAGTGAGAATCCAACGGTGCATTTACAAAATCTGTAATTGGACTTAACAGAGCAAAGTTCCGAATAATATATATTGCATAACATACATACGAATAGTACATTAAACGATATAAGATAGAATGGGATGCAAAAAAAAAAAAGTTTTACATATTGCAAACATTTGCAAGAGGTCTATTTAAATTTCACAAGTCATTTTAATAGCAGCTACAGATTTTAATAGCCGGGTTGTTGATAGTACGCTGCCTTTCGTGAAATTGTTTTGAAAGATTGCAACAGTGCCTTCTTTAATTGGACAATTTTAAACTCTTTGTGGATTCTATTATTGCGAACATAGCACGGAGAGTCTGTTATTCGTCTCAGAACAGAATTTTTTGAAGTTTGTAGCGTCTTGCGATTTGATCTACAGGCATGTGCCCATACAGGGCATGGGACGCAAAATGGATTTATAAATAAGTAACATATTGTCTATATATCAAACAATGTTTCGAGCAATTAAGGGGATAGAGTTTGGCTTTATGCCTTCAAAACTGTTAAATAATAGATGTAATGAATGGGGTCTATGTAAGAGCATTGTTGAGGATGACCCCAAGATAAAGTACATACTTAGCCAAGCCATATAATTTTATGCTGTGCTTTATATATTTCTTTCGGGTGAAGAGGATGGCCTTGGTCTTTTGCACATTCACTTCGATTTTCCATTTCTTTAGCCAAGTCTCTAATGCATGTATGTGCTCTTGTAAGTGTTGAACGAATGGACGAACCTGTAAGGTAGGATTTAATTATGTTTGTGATGTATCCTGGGAAACGAAGACTGTGGATTTTGTAGATGAGGACATCCAGCCATACTCTATCAAACTCTTTCGCTACGTAGATGAAAATGCCACCTGTAATCTTTCAATTAACCATAGCTACAGATATTGTTTCCACAACTCTGTACAGTTGCTTGGATTTTGATAGATTTGTTTTCGGAAGTCGAACTGGTAAGGGATGATAATAAATCGATATCCTTCCTCCCTGCCTAGTAACTGCTCAGAGTTACAAAAACATAGCTAAGCGAAGTTATGACTTCTCCCTTGGGATCTTTGTGCGGTTTCCGCCACTGTGTGCAGTTCCCCCTCAGAACGGGTTTGCAACTGCGAGCATCAATAGCTAAATATTGATGCTTAACAAAGGAAAGGGGAGGTGCAATCAAATTATAGAAATACTTTTAATCGCTTCAACAACAAGCGAAAGCAATAAGCCACGCAGTAACATGATGGGAAAAGCACCATTAAAATGGACTCAGGCGTTTGCCGATTTCGATGTGAAAGAATTAGTCAGTTTAATGTTTCTTGCTGCAGCTTTTGTGATTCATTTAAGGGCTAACTTCAGTTAACATTAGCCAAAATCCGATACAAATTTCATCATCTTTCACCAGAATGAAATACCGTTGCACTTTGTATTGATCTCATCCTCAGTTCTCCACTAACCCTCACCTTATCAAACCCTAATTGGTTTGAAATATGTACGTGAAAACTCATTTTTGGTTGATAGATTCAGAATCTTGTTCATCCTAAATGAAGAATCCTATTAACTGCGCATATTATTGATTTAATATAGACCAATGTTATATATTTTGGTCCATATCATGATGTTACCCTCACCTGCACAAAAATATAATAATGCTTTCCAAAATATGAATACTACATAAAGAAAATAAATATTTTTCATATTTCCTGTATTTTAGAATTAAAAGCAATGCAAATTTGAATTTAAAATTAAAACAATTCCATGCACTAAAACAATGGGGTTTTATCCAATAAATAGCCAACCATAGCCTAAGTGCAGGGCTGGTAGGCAGGACAATGGGGCATTTATTTCTGTTTATTAGTAGAAATACAATGGTAGTTTGCAGATGCTTTTCCACGCACATTACGCGTTGAAATTTTACAATTCTTGAAAACAAAAGTTTACAGATATGTGCAATGATGATTTAACAGCTGTAGCTCCGAAAGACAAAATTTGAAACTGTGTCTATAAGTATGAACTTTGAAGAGAACTTGAACTGCGACATTAAGTGTTACAGTCATTAAAATGTATTACAGTTTTTACAGAACTGGTGTTTAGAGTTTTTATCGTCATTAATGTTCATGATTGTTTTCTGTCTTGAAACGTTTTGCAACTCATCAGAGTTATCACTTATATATTTAATTATCTTTATCGTCCTATTTAGAGTTCCTGATGGCCTGGGAGCAACTCGCACCATTTTCTTCATTATTTGTCTATGGTTCTGACAGATGTTGCCTTGTCGTCATTCAGACATTTAGATTGTTTTTGCGCAAAAGGATTTCCATGAGAAGTTTATTGCATCCGGATTAGTTCTTTTTTGTCCACCAATCTTATTTCTCTTTTGAATATTACACTTTTTTACACTTTTTTCTGGGTCTTGACATGACTGAAAATGCCTTCTGAGGATTGAATTTTTTTATGATTGATTGCCAGGGAAGTGTTCCACCACTTGCACTGAGGTATGGTCTTAGCTCGGTTATGCATCTTTGATGCTATGTATGAGTTTCTCAGTGGTCCAAGTTATCCGGAGCAGTGGAATCAATCAATTTTTTGGAATTTTGTGAAATTATTGAGTAGGTGTTTATGATGGACAGGGTGACAAACATATTTTATTTTGAGACTGACGTTGGTAATAATATCATAAATCTGATATACTGAATAGGGAATATATTTATGATCATTCTAGGTGATATCTTCATCGACAGTCTTGCACTGTATTAGCCAGGTCTACAGAGGTTATTATTATTATATTATTATTATTATTATTATTTATATTGAAATGTACAAATATATATATATATATACCATGCTGCAATTTAGACTTTATATGCCAGACACGTAAATGTGTACCGTGCCAACTGTGCCGTGCCACGTATATGAAAATGTGTACCGTGGCCTTCTAGAACGAAAATTAAGAAACTAGTGCGAGCTAACTAAAACCCTGCAAAAATATAAATTATTTACGATTTCTATTTATTAAATGGAATTTTTTGCTATTCTTATTTTGCCTAACTAAAATGTTATGCTTTTTAAGTTTAAAATGAAATTTTATCAAAATATAAATTTTAAATTTATCCAAATGCAACATTGTAATGAAGATATTATGTTATATTTTATTTTTATGTATTGGTTGTTTTTATATTTAATGTACGCGTTTGTATTTTGCATTACTTTTGCATTTTTTTCTTGTGGTTTGTGTCTACCGTATATTAGAACTAAGACGAGTTGGCTTTTCCCCAGCGAAGACCCAGGCAAGTTTTCATTGAATCTTCGTGGGAACGCTTCTGAAGGTCCTCTAAAAGAGCCACCTTACGAAGCATCGAGTGTTGACATGGCGGACAGCCTCGATGCCCCTCTCATCTGCTAATGCGCCACTTGACCCTTCTCCCTGCATTGCAAATACAGCTGCCCTATCCAGAAACATGATGAAAGAAACAAAATTCCAGGACAGATAATTGATGTATTGAAGTTCAAGCTCTATATCCTTTCTTGCTCGACGATTAACAGGACTGTTCCACCACAATCGATCAGTCTTATTTATTCATCGAATAAGCTCTTAAATTTGTATATATAAAATAATTTATGTGACGGCGAAAAATTGATTGATCATTAGATAATTTAAGACATTGTTCATGAAGTGTCATTTGTAATATCCATCAATTTTGTATACGTCAAGTTGCTGATAAAACGAACCCGGAACGAGTGCATTTCCAAATGCAATTGTAAGTCTCTTTAATGTTTGACAATTATGCAATAGCTAAAGTAAATAAGTTTGATAGTATGCAGAGTGAATTCGAAATAATAATAATGATAAAGAAAAGCATCTTCATAACTAAAACACATAAGTCAGATTAATATTTAAATTTAAGGATTTTTTTTAAATTATAATGTAGATTTTCAAATGTGAATATTCGAATATGTATAAAAATATACCATATTAGGGGGCTACGGCCAAAGCAATATTTATAAGTTTCTATGTATAGAAAAACTGAAAATAAATCAACTATTAATTTAATGCTCTGTATACAAAATTGTTAACTGCGATCAGAGTAAAATTTATGAGTTCTGTGTACATCTGAAAAGAAGGTGCATAAAAGCATTTTAATGTGAAAGAACTGAATTCATTCTTTCCGGGCAACAAGCAATTTGTAAGTAAAGTTTCTGTTGTCAAACCAGGAAACAAAAACTTTGGACACTTCAAGGTTAATACGTATACGTATGATGTCATGATTTAAATTTAATGTAATTTATCAACTTTTTCTCGATATCAATAAAAGAATCAAAGTGGGCGTGTCGATTATCTTATTCTGAAACAAAAAGAGTTGCCAACAGCAAATATTTATTTAAAATTCTGATATTAAGCAAACATTTTGGACATACAATGACAATACATAAAAGAGCACATAAAATCGTGCTCTTTCTTCAACGTGAGAAGATGATGTTATATAATAATAATACGTTTAATGTTTGGCAATGCCATTTTTAGTTCATATTTTGTAAAACTTACAAATTTTGGATTACCAAACTCTACGATTTGAAAGCGAGCAGTGGCAACGCTTTTCGAAGTAAAGCATATTTTAATCTCCAGTGTGCGAAACTGTTGCCACTCGGAAAAATGAGGACTAAAATTAGCGCTTTCAATTAGTATCTCGCCTGATGAAAGTCGTACGAAGATGAGAATGGTCGAACTGCCTTCATATGAATTGTTGGAATCCAGAAATCCCCTCTCGAAACTCAACTCCCCGCCATTCCGGAGATGATGCCACAAACAAACAGGCAGACAAGCAGATTTTAATATTATAGATTTTATGAAATGTTTTCTTCTAATTAGAATTGTTATCTATAAATTCTGGAGACATATAACTTGAAGCATTAACCAGTTACAGGAAATTTTCTTAATTTACAAGTAACTTTCGGTGTTGTAATTTTATACATAAATATCAGAAAAATGCATAAAATTACACAATTAGGAAGTAGCACAATATATCATTTTCCAAGGAAAAAATCACGATAACATTTTAATTTCTGCCAATCTTATACATATATTTTATTATAATTACATAATTATAAAAGAAATTTATAAAACCATCAGAGGAACAAAACTTCTTTTCTAATTAATTTCTTTTTTTATTGTATAATTAGTAGAAATACAATAATTTCTTTATTGTATTTCTACTAATTCTTTTCTAAAAATTAGAGACTTAGACTGGTTATATCACGAACTAAAATAATAATACTACGTTTATACATAACATTAACTTATCTCTCAATAAAACATTTTTTTAAATAATCATTAAGCGATTCATTCTAGGCATTCGATGCTTCTATAAGATCAATATATGCCAAAATTTCTTTTAGGTACACTTAAAATATTCACATTTAGATAACTTGTAAGCCATAATATAGATAAATCTCCCTATATGCAAATTAGAGAATGTCAAAAGCTGATAATCAATTTAAGAAGCCATGTTACCCTTTGAATAAACTTTCCGTTTATTTACAGAATGTGCCTCAGTTCCTCGCATTGTTAAGTCCCGGCAATTCATTAGTAGAAATCGTTAACAGTCTAGAGTCGTTCAGTCGAGCACACCTTTATCATGCTCTTACAGTTAGCCTAGAATAATTGTACGTAATATACTAAACTAGTTTAAGGAATTTGGATCCTGCAAGGAAGATCTACGGAAGGTTTCACTGGTATCATCTCATAAATATGTAATTCCAAGAAGTAAAATTGTTTTCCTATATTAAATAAGAAAGGTTTCATTCGGTATCGGTTGTTGCTGAGTAAAAGAATAAGATCAAAATGAGCAAAATATGAAGTTCTGAAATAATGTGATAAATGAATTTCGAGATGTTAGTAAAATTCTTTTGTAGCCTATTAAAGAAATGCAAGAAAAATGGCATTCGTATTAATATCTAAATCTATCAATGTATAAAATGACTAGATCTCATGCAATTTTGTATAAATCTATAAATATTCTCAGTTAATTTCTTGACTAAATACTAATTATCAGTTTTTGGTTTTTAATCAAATTCAAGGATAGAAGATTAATCAAAACCGAACAGAAAAAAGACAAGAAAACATTGAGGAATAATGATTACATTAAAGAAATCTAAGATGTTTAATCTTCTGGTTTCATAACAGCAATCAATCAAATTAGGCACAGAAATAATAAACTTTTAATTACATACTCATACAAATGTATAAAAATATAAATAAATGTGAAATAAAAGTCCAGAAACATCCTTGTCTGAAATATTTACTTTTTATTTTTTTCTATCAAAATTGCAGACATCAAAATCAAATAACCAACATGGGCTAATCTGAAGCCACAACTGCAGCTGTTGACGAAGCTTCTTAACTTTTAATTTGAGAGAAATAAAAAAGATGGCCATTTTATCCATCTAAGTTTCTGGCGATAATAGTATAGATGGTATAATTATATAATATACGCTAAATATTAAAAGATAACTCACTAAACACTACAAAACGCAAGCATCCAGATTAAAGAGATATTTTATCCAGTCCTTTAGTTTCAGTTTGTCACAGTAATTTCATTTATTAATGCTGAGTTAAAGAAATTTTAACAAAAATTAATAGAAAAAAAGAAAGAAAATTTGAAAGCTTTCAGATTTTATATTGTGCCAAAAAGACATTTATTTAACGTTTTGCTGGTTACCTTTATTTATTAAATATCATGTTCTTAGCACTTAAACCACATAAAAGTCAATTCAACAGCAATATCACAAAATATTTAAAACCAGCATATCTTTAGAATTTCCGATACACAGTCTCGCGCACTGGAGATAAAATATTTTCTCCCCCTGTAGAGTGTTGCCATTGCTCCCTTTGAAATCGCTGAATTTGTTAATCAAAAATTTGTTAACGTTTTAAAAAATTTGAAATATATAATAAAACAAATTCAAAATTCGGCCGTCCAAGTGCCTAGATTCAGTTGGGGGGGGCTACATTATTCAAAATTTCATGACTTTAGGTACCGTTGTTTTTTAACAATGCGAGAAACAATCATGAATTCATGCAGATACTTCATTATTTAGTTTCTTTAAATATAATACATTGCGATAATATTTGTTGGTAACAGTTTGAAAAGTGAATCAAAGCAGAAAGTGAAACGACTCAAAACGCCGTTTTGAAACTATTAGCCCTTTGGTCTTTTGGTCGCCCTTTTACGCTAAAAAAAAGTGTGATGTATTGAAAACCCGTTTATTGATATTGTGCTCAAAATACTGAATTTTAGTAAAATTAAGTTAGTTATTCCAAATAATTATTATATTAATCTATATTACGATTCCTTTTATAGATAGCGCATAATTTTCTATATTCAATTTGAAATTAAACAAAAATAATTATTTCTTGTAAATTAATAACCGACAGTGAAATGTAGATCAAGAATAACATTATATTTTTAGAATCTCTTTGAAAAAATGGAAAAAATTCTGAAAATTCATAATATGCCTTAATTTGCAAGGCATTTTTTTTTATCAAATATCATCAGTAATTCATTCTTCAGTGAGAATAATTAGATTTCTTATTTTCAGCCTTAAGTTATCCAAACACGTTTCTTCTGTTTAAGTACAGTAATATGAAATATGGATTTTTGCTGAAGATTTTAAGATTTTCAAAGATTTCTGTATTTTATTTCAAATTCAATTTAGTCTTTAAAAATAAAACTTAATTTAAAATTTTCTCATAGTTTATTTTGGCAATTAGGAAAAATCAGGTATCAGGCTATTCAGAAAATTATTCGTTGAAAAAAAAGCAGTATTGTTGATCTAAATAAATGAAATTTTTATAAGCAGTGAACCTTAAATGAAATATGTCTCATACTGAAAGTAGTTGAAGCGAGACAACGGCGCATTGAAATCAATATGCTGAAACATTGTATTGCCAAATCTAAGTGATAAATTGTAAAAAATTATTATTAAGAAATAAAGTATAATTACGATATATTATTTATAATTTATGTATTACGACATATTATTTATCATTTATATATTATCATTTACATATTACGTCATATTTATCATTTATATATTATTATTTATATGTTTGATAATTATAACAATACAATTAAAATTACGAAAATATCATCATAACTAAATTATTATCGATTGTCAATTATTTTTGGTGACTTCCACTTGCATTTTGGAATAATTCGTCCTGTTGCGAAAAACTTGTTCATTGTAATGTATTTAAAAAGTTAGGTAGATAATGCACGTAGATCGCACGGAATTCCAAAAGTTGCTTTTAAGAAAAATCTATGTTCTTTAATGTATTTTGTAAGTATGACATCTCTCATTAGCATATTTTCGATTGATATAGTTGTGAAATGTTATTTGTTAAACTTCTTGTATTATTTAAAGTACTCCAGCTTCCTTCATAAATGAAATGTGACAAAAAATATCATTAAAATGATATTTTTCTGTCAGACAACTGCTTTTCAGTCTGCGAAGATTTTTCAAATATTTAATTATGAAATCAGATATTTAACAAACCTGTTCGCTAGCAATGATGAAGAGTATTAAATAAACTAAATCGTGTTTTTGTTGTTGTTTTTGGAGTTTAGTTGTTTGTCATAATATATGAAATATAATCACAACATAACACGACTCTATATATAAACTTATTCTAAATGATATGTTCAAACCTTCATTACATTCCTTCTTTCCTATATCACTTCTACTTTTCTGCCACTTACTCCTGTTTTTCTCGAATTATAATCCCAGGTCAAAGCACACTTAAATGAACACACTGATTTAAAACTAAACAATTTATTTGTGAAATTATCTTGTTAGATTACAAATCGATGTGAAGAAATGATACTGAATTTCAAACTGAAACACAATAAGCAAAGCAAAGCAATACGTAATTAATCTAATTACGACTACTGCGCACATTATTGCGCATCGTAATTAATCTAATTACGATTATTGCGCATATACCTACTAGAGAGAAATGACATGGAATAAGTAGCACATGAAAGGATACCATCAGCTGAATACAAAATATGCCTGGAGGAAATTATTTTAATATTATTTACAGAAATTAAATTTTATTTTAAAGACCAAAAATATGCTTATATCCTTATATATTCGGACCATCACCGGTATATGTCGACAAGGACAGATATGCTCTGGACGAGGTCGAAACGAGATGTCGAAAATAAAGAAATGTTCCACGATTAAATGCAATTGTAAAAGCCAGGGACTCTAGGGCATTCAAAGTGTCATAACAGTTAAAGTTGTTGCAATAAATAACACTGCATATTGTCAATAGCATAATCAAGTAAGTTTATTATTGGTGTAATTTTTTTTTCTCATTTAGAATGTACTGTTCGTTTTAAGTTCAACAGTTTAT